TTGTCCGTTGGATCATCCACATCATACCAGTCTGACCACGCACATGTGGTACTTGGAATGCAAGTAGTCGATGAGATTGTGGTTGTACTTGTGGTTGTCGGAGGTGTAGGTGTAGTTGTAGTAGGAGGAGTAGTTGTAGTAGGTGTAGTCGTAGTTGTTGTAGTAGGAGGTGTGGCTGTAGTTGTACTTGTGGTTGTCGGAGGTGTAAGTGTAGTTGTAGTAGGAGGAGGAGTTGTAGTAGGTGTAGTCGTAGTTGTTGTAGGTGTAGTTGTGGTAATTGGAGGTATTGTCGTAGTTGTCTCACATACATCCACACATGTTTTGTTTTTCTCATCAAATATGGGCTTATCTTCTGGGCATACAGGGTAACAGCCTGTACAAAAGGATATCACATAATAATCTTAATTAATATTTCTGAATGGCACATTTATCTGATTCAAGGTAATACAAACTGACACGACTTAACCTCCTACCTTCCAGGGTGGGTATCGGATTCAAACATACACCTTCTGGATTCAAACAGGTCTTGTAGCACGGAGAGTGGCAAGGGTTATAGTGCCACGTGCATATAATTGGGTCGTTGTAGTAATCACAATAGACAGCTAGGAGAAAAAGATACAAATTATACCATTTACTTAGATGATTAAAATGTTGACTGAAATATATGAAATTTCAATTTATAATGTGAATGCAGTTCAAACTCCACTCTCACATTAAAATTTAATAAGGTTATTAAAAATATTTTGGAATTTCTGTCTGATTGCACTAAAATAAAAAGATTACAATGAGATTATTTATTTGATTTTGGAAATCAGTAACCCTGACTATAATATACACTGAGTTTAAATTGAAGTGAATATGTTACATATGCAAGTGTTATAAACTGATGCAAAGATTGTCTGCAGTATATTTGATGTTAGATTACATAAGTAATGTCTTTAATTATTACAGATGCAAAATGTGTTTCCTTTCACTTTTCCACATATTATTTTTGTTGTGATTATCGTTAATCACATTTGACCTACACTCAGTATTTAGGAATGATCCCACTACAATTGCATATCCTTTTCAATAGAGCCCAACATGTTATATTACAGGATTTTTTTAAGTTAACACAAACCAAACACCGACTCTGGAACAATCACTTTGCCACATCCATTTTCTTTTGCATTTAACACTTAGAAATGTGTTGTCCGGAGAGGGGGGCAGATTAATAATCTCAAAAACAATAAAATAATCTATTTATCAAATTTAATACATACATTTTATAAAGATACACACAGTTTACACTGTTTAATTAATGGTCTGACTATGTTTGTAAAAATGAGAAAATTCAGTTTCAGATGCTTTATAAGCTTGCAAAAGCACGTGTCCACTTTGGTCCCTATTGGTTATTGAGTGTAGCTTGATACAGAAAAGATCAAGTTTATTAATTTATAATAACAAAGTAAAAAATACAAAAAATGATGGGGTATGTTTACTGAGCAGATTAATATATAGATCTCTGTAGTTGCAAACACCAGGCTCACAAGAATTTAAAGCCTCAACGACAAAGTCATGTGTCAGAAAAGGTGGGGGAAAAAACAAACTGTTACTCACGACAGATCTCTGGAGTTCTCCATGCAATGCAAACATCATGCTCATTGCAAGCCTGAGCGTAAGCTGCAACTGCTGTGCAGAAACATTCACAGTCTCCTCCAGTGTCGCAGGCACATGAGTCTTTTATGCAGTTTTCATAAAATGGAAAAGGGCTAACCTGAACAGTGGTGCAAATTTGATGATGATTTTATTTTAGAGCATTGTTTTAGATTTGCGTGAATGTGAACAAGTTACAAATTCTCATTACCTTTTTGTGGCATTCTTTAAATGTTTTTCCAATTATGATGCTACACATCAATTTTGCCCACTGATGTCGACCGGGTGTTACTGCGCACGGATCAATGTTCACCTCAGCATCTGGACAAGAGCTAGACACTTTCCAGCTGTTTGCAAACTCAAGTGGATTGCTCACCACCAGCTGACCCTGAGTGGTGTAGTCATTCTGTCCATCACCATCGAAATTACCACAAAGGCCACACACCTCTCCCTGTGCAATTAAACAAAAGAGTCAATCGAGCAATGTGAGATCTTAATAAATATAATTTAGTGATTTACATTTATCATAATTTCATTAGTATATTAGGCTCCTCTAGGAATTTTCTTTCTTTTGTAGAAATGATTCTGTTAATTTTTTCAATATGAGGTATTGAAAACCAGAAGTATGTGGTCAGACAAAAAGGGTACACTGCATTAAAATAGTAAAACTTTAATGCAAGAATTTAATGTAACAGTTACTGTGACTCACGCTGTGCGTTGGTTCAAGCAGGATCCGAACAGCTGTTTTGCGATCCCACATGACTGCCATTCCGATCTCAGATTCTACAACCACATACAAGCCAACGTTCCTTATCTTGTACACTATCTCAGGTCCATGTCCCAGATCATCCTCTTCAACTCTTCCCCTTGATAGTTTAATTTCATTTCTCTGTAATGAAGGAAAGGAAATTTCTGTTGGTTCAATTGCAATGCTGAAAATATATTTACTTAGATTTACTATAGTTGGCATAAGAAAGCTTTGCTATTGTTTGTAAGTGATCTTACCCCCAGTTGAATTCTGACTCTTTTAGAGCAGGTGGTGCCCGTAGAGCCACAAGGTACATTTTCAGTGATAACTCCAAAGCTGTTGTGCACCGTTTTATTGCCACAGTTGTTCTGTAAAAAAAGGAAAAAAAAAAAGGTTAAACTTTGTGTTTTTTGGGGGCTAAAGTAGAAGATAACAGGAACAAGATTATGCACTTACATGTTATATATTGACTAACTGCCTTTGAATCTTTATGTAATGACTTTTGGAGACACAGTGTAGGTAATTCTTAACTGTGTCTCAAATCTTTGCACTTAGAAAAAAAGATTTTCCTTATCCCTGATCCAGATATTATTTACAATATAAGGCATTTGCTCCTTGCAATTTCACCTATGAGTTCTAAGTAAGTAATTGTATTTGGTAAACAAAATATACAGTGTGAATGGCATGTAACTTTTTTTTTTACAAAGGAAATTAGAGTTGCATAACTGACTTTACTCCTAATTGTTCAGAGTTTATTTTTATGAGAAACTTTGGATGAGGACATGACAAGGTCAATTTAGGTGACAGTTGTGCTTTGGATGATTTTGGCACACATTATTTACCTTTACAGCAATATAGCCACACTGTCCTTGAAATGCATATGTTTTCTGATCAAATGTGGTGTAGTGACCACTTCCATAAATAATGCAAGTTCCTGGACATTTTTTCTCAGAGCATGTCCATTTTCCACTTTGGCAGGTACTAAATGTATCAAAAAAAGTAAATACAGTACAATTTGAATACTGTGAGAAAAACGTGCCATATATATCACATACTGTTTATTACTCTACAAGTATTAATTAGAAAATAACTAAAAAATAAAATAAGATCCTACCAGGTGTTGCACTGATTAGGTATTTGTGTCCCGGAGACATAGAGATGGCCATCATGTTTGCATGGACAGTCACTTTCTTTCACACAGAAACCTTTACCATCATCAAGGAGGCCACTGGGACACCGACAACCAGATTCACACTCTGTGGCATCCTGGGAGGATAGAAAGACCACATTAATAAAAAATAAATAAATAAAAAATAATATTTATTAGATATTGTTTTTTCAGACTTGGAGGTGCATCAAAAACAACTCACACAATCATCATTGTCCAGATTTAAACAAGTTCGAGCACACTGCACTCCAACAACTCCTGCGCTTGCAGTGGAGCAGTTGAAGTATTCTTTTGGAGAAGAACAAGCTGTAGAAACTGTAGGAAAAAAAGTACAAATTCCTTTAATATACTGTATATTGTCTTAACAAAACTCTCTCATTGAAGAAGAAAAAAAACTGACTTGACATGCGGGTTCTCCCAGAATGGCAATGAAGAACTCCGTTGGTGCATATGCTAGAAAAAGTCACCAAAATTATAAAGATACAACACAAAAAGCCAAGTCTGTGTAAATCCATCATACTACATGTATTACGGTCCTGTTTAATCCTTAGTTTAGGATGTTTCATTTGAAATCCTGAAGTGACTCACCAGCGCTCGTTGTTGGTGCTGATGGACTTGCCTGACTTTACGTAGACTTCATTATGGTAACAGGGACACTTTGCCACTGGGACACAGATGCCGTTGTCATCTAGGTAGTGACCCTCAGCGCAGGAACAGCCATCCACAGGCAAGAAATCAGAGGTGCAGCTCTGCTGCTTTAAGCTCAATGATCTGCAAGTCAGCTGGCATCTCTGATTTTTGTAAGAGAAGGTCTGAGATGCTGGGCAGTTCTTGGTGTATTTTTCTGTTTTACAGAAAATATGATAATGATTACCTCATAGTTCTGGACTAACTAATAAAAAAGAACACGCTCATCAAACTTCATTACTGAGCTGTTTCAGATACACTTACCGCACACATTCTCTCTCCAGTCTGTCAAGAACACTCCCTTTGATGCACAAGCTCTTGTGTAGGAGGAGAAAACAGCACACAGGCAGTCCTCGCTCTTCTCACAGTTACAGCTAGCATAAGTACATCGCTGTAGAAAACAGTGAACACATTTTTATTGTATTACAGTCCCACTGTATTTAGTTAAAGAAACACAGGTAGATTGTGTTGTACCTTGTAGTAAATCTCAGGATCCACAACAGAATGACACTCTGCAAAGGTGCTATTTGGCTGTCGTAGCAAGGCGCACCAGTGATTGGCATACTTTTCTATAAGTAGATGAGTAAAAATGTCACTTCTTGCTTATATTTCTTGCTTGTTTATATATGCTGCAATTATTGCATGGAAAATCAGTTTCAAGCAAATGATAGCAATTAAAGAAATAAACTTCCATCCGTCCATCCATCCATTCTTTTCCACTTATCCTTGTCAGGGTCGCGGGGTGGGTGGGAGGCAGGGTACACCCTGGACACACCGTGGACACATTGCCAGTGTGTCACAGGGCTAACACATAGAGGATAGACAACCATTCACACTCACATCCACACCTATGACCAATTTATAGTTACTAATTAATCCAAACCCACTAAATAAATAGGTGGAGTTCAGAAAAAACGTAAACGTGGACAATAAAATAAGGAATAAGAAATAAACTTGATGGACAAAAAAACTTTCCAGTTTACCATTTTCCACGCTGAAAGAACAAGGGTCATCGAGTCTGTCTTCTCTGTCTTGGCATGTATGGCTAGCCTTCCAGGAGTTACTAAAAGCTGCTGCACTTCCCTCCACAATTCCCTGACGAGTGTTCATGTCATCAGACAGGACCATGTTGTAGTTCCCACATAAACCTAAAAATTACAGATTCTTAATGAAGGAAATTATCATAAAATGCAAATAAGAATGCTAAAGAAAAAAGTATATGAAACCAAATTATTTTCAATGGCTTGCTAGTTGGGTGGTATTCAGAGTGGGACAATCCTGAGATCATCCCTGGTCACATAAAACACAATTTCTCTATTATGTTCTTTGGCTACCTCAGTGTCTACTTTTCACTGAAAATCTGAAAAAAAAAAACCTGATCTTCAAAATAGCCTTTTTATTTTGGCATACCAGTTAGCTGCCCACACCATCTTAGCTGGTTCCTTTTCATCTGAAGAAGCTAACAGTCTATTACGAGCGCCCTCGTTATTTTTTAAATTTCTCGCCGTAGCTCTAATAGTGGGCGAGGCCATTTATTACAACCTTTTAGCCAAAAGGTTATAATAAGGTTGTTGGCAGTGTTTAATTAAAAAAAACATATGAATCACTGAAGTCAACATAATCTGCTGGTGTTTCATTTGTTTAAGCTGCAAATGGCAAAGTTTGTTTCGAAATGCACAGATACATCAAAATCATGTAATCATCTTCAACAGACAGCATTCTTTAAGTCTTGCAATAAATAGTTACTTAATAAATGCATACTAGCCCTTGTGATATAATTCTTTAAGACTAATGTGAAACTTACCACGTGTCTTTTCTCTGTAGCTCTGCTCCAGGCTGACATAGACTTGCATGAGAGGCACATGTTGGATCTGAATTTGCAAACCAAAACTGGTCTGGAGGATGATGTGAAAGGACGAAGCGTGGAATATACTGATATCCCCTGTGAATGAAGAGATACACAAAAATCAGTTTGGCTAAGTTCTTACGTCTCAGCATAAATGAAAGTAACATCTTAAATCGAAAGTTCCTTATTTTCTGACTAACCTGAGAAGTATGGCAAACTGATACTCTGCATATTCTGCTTTACTGCGCCATCAGCAGTGAATGTTAACACCTGAATAAAAACAGAATTGATCATTAAAATGTTGCAGCTGTCAGTATCTATTTAAAGCACGAGCCCGGTATTAAACTCACATTGTGTCTGTCATTGTTCAGCAGGATTTTGATGGTCTTCAGACAGGTGTCATACTCTTGGTGTGCACATGGTACCAGTTTGACCAGAATGGTAAACTTAGGGCTTGCATCATCCTGAAATATGCATAATGTAAGCAAAAGAAAAAAATGTAGCCTAATCCAATATATTTTTACTTACATGTGCCCAACACAGTATTGTCTAAAATTTGACTGTACAAAGCTAAGGCTCATTTACCTTTCTTTCCACCTTGGCCAGGGTGTAGTAACAGTCTCCATGGAAGGTGAAGTCTTTCCCATCAAAGGTGGTTACATGTGAACCTTCTTCAACCGCACACGTAGAAGGTGTTGAAAGACTTTCACAAGCCCATCTACCTTCAAAACACGTGCTGAAAAAACCCCCAAATTCATTAAGATAACAAAATATGCAGACACGTTGTAAAAAAATGACATTCTGGTAGCATGATGAACATTACCATTCCTCTCGCTCCTGTCTGTAAACTTCGCCAGATTCATAGATTTTTCCATGCTTGCACTGGCATTCAGACTGAGCAATACACCCCCTCATGGAAATGTCATCGAACACGGTTCCTGAAATGGAAGGTTGGCATTTGAAGGTAACATCCCATGAAAAGAGAAGCTTTAACAGGTGTGTAGAAAGAAACTTATTTGACAAGCGCGCTAACCAGGAGGACAGAAGCAGCCGTCCATTTTGTGGTCCTCACAGAATGAGCTTGTGTCTTGATGTGTGCAGGTATCCACACAAGGGGATCCACTCTCTTCATAAACCATGTTGAATGGGCACTGTTTAGCTGTGAAGGAAGTGGGAATTTACGCAAAGTGTCTAAACATCAACTTGTTGAAGTTTTTCACTTGAGTGTAAAAACAGCAGATTTTTTTGTGCACTTATTTTACTTCTGACATTTGCCAAATTTCACCATATACTTGGCTCAGGTGATTTCAGTGTTTTGGTACTCTCTCTACCACTTAATATATAAAATACAAAACTTTACCACAGAACTCAGAAGTCCTCCAATTGGGAGGCTCCCCTCCTGCATGGGAACACTGTCGAGAGAACTCAGAGAGTGTGCTGCAGACACAAAAGTCATCTGAATGGTTGGTACAGCCACACATGTCCTGCACACAGGCCTGAATGTAAGGCTCAGGGTCAATCAGTTTGGAACAGGAGCTCCAGGTTTCTGCATGCAGCATGTCTTCACAGGTGTTTTGCTAAACGACAGTAAACACATGCACAATTATTTAATGCAAATAAAAAAACATCAGATCTCTTTCGTTAAACCTGGCTAAAGTAGGTAACAAAACTCACAAACTCTTTGCATGACTCTGGCACATTCATAGCTTCCTGTGAGACATCTTCCTCTTCATATGGGTCCTCACAATCATCATTTGGACGATGGACTTTATGTATGTTGCCAAACTCAATGGGGCTGATTTTCCGACCTTTTGCATACAATTACATTAGTAGGGACACGCAATAGCCAGCATATTGAAGATTTAAAAAATTAATGAATAATGAACAGGTTTTACCATCAAGGAGGAACTCGTTGTAAACTGGAACACCGTTAAAATCTCCACAAAGTCCACAAGTGCGGTTAGTGTAATCATTATCAATTTCCACCTTAAATATGGAGTAAAGGGTTAGAAAAAGTTTTAGAAACCAGACATGACATGTTTAAGATATTAAAATATATAATATGACAAAATAAAAAGAAACAAATGCATCAAAGTTGCCACATTTAAGGACTTTACATGTATGCAAGGACAATAGTAACCACTGTAACTATTGTTGTAGTGAACCAGGTAATCGGCAATTCAACTAGAGGACAATGTATTTATTTAAATGCCACACAGACCAAAATATAAAAGTATGGCAAAGTATTTCTTGAGGTTGGGCTGTTAGTCATTAATAAAAGAAATGTGTTTAAAATAATGTCCCATTGGATCTGTCTATTTTAAGGATTTACCATGACTGCATCATCAAGGTTCCACATGACAATGATGCCAACTTTGGACTGGAGCTTGATGTAGACTGCATTTCTTTCCACTTGTACTCCGGCCTCGTAGTGTGGCAGTTTGACACTGAGAAGAAAGATAATATCTTTTTAACAATTATAATTCATTTATATCTATAATTAACATTATATAAGAAGCATCTCTGTAATGAATAAAGTTTTTTGCATTATAAATCACTCTGTGAACTTCAACTGTTCATTCATATTGCCATACTTAAGAGTACTGTCTGGAAGTCTGGGTTAATGTATAAAAAGCTTAAATTCAGTCATTATCTGAACGTCAGGAAAAGCAACTACAATCATTAAATGAAGCCGGATTCAGCAACCACACTAACATTTTATTTTTGGAGTCAACAAATCTTGAAATTCATGGAACTCATAAAATATAAATCTTTAACAACAGTTCAAACTTTTTGCATTTTCATTTGTCTACTAAAATTGTGGAACAGTTTTCCAGTGGACCTACAGCAATGTTCAAGCATTTTTCAGTTCAAATAAATTTTTTGAAACCTGCTTTTGAAGAATGTGAAATTAATGAAATTGATGACTGATAATAATAATAATAATGATAATAATTTATACGTTATTGATTCCCATGGGGAAATTCCTATCTGCATTTAACTCTTTCACTCTAATTATATTAATTTATTGTGTTTTTTTTTTGAGTGTATACAAGTGCTGAGGGGAAGTGTGGGTAATGATGAACATGGTCAATCAATCAATCAATCAATCAATCAGAGATTAATAAGCATGTGGATATTTCTTCCTACTCCATTTCAGACTTGATGATGATTTAGTGGTTAATTCATGTCATTAGGAATGTGTGTATGTATTGGTTTTATATATCTGAGATAAAAGATTATCATTGTCATCATAATTCTATCAGAGTTGCTTTTTTTTTTTTTTTTAACTTACGGCAGGTCGTTTACAGTGACCACATCCTTGCTGAGGTGAAATGCAAAATCGGTGATGGTGACCACCACATAACTGACTGTCGGGTTTCCATCGTTTTCATTCCTCTTCATGTGCACAGAGAACTCTGGGAAGGTGTCATGGCAGTCGGAGACCAGGTTGTATTCACACATGCCAGGAAACTGGTACACATCACCATCGAACGTCTTGAAGTGCTCCCTGCCCCATGTGCTACAGATGCTGCTCACATGGTTGCGGACTGGAGAAACATTCACATAAATAAAAGATGAATATTGGTGGAAGTATTATAAATGTTGTGTTCATATATGCATAAATGAAGAAGATAAATTTATTTAAATAATTGAGGTTTAAAAGCAGACCAAAATTATTTGAGTCTTACCCCATCTGGCTTGGATCTCAGTGACATGGGCTATAGTCAAAGCAAGGAAGCACAACCCCACCGAACTCCCCCTCATTGTTGCCACTGTGGACTTGATGTTCCCTGAGTGGGTAATGTAGAGAGTGGTTCTTGACTACCTTTTATATTGAGATCAGACTTTTTTTTTCTTACAGCTTCTTCCTGTGTAAGACGTGAAGATTTATTGCCAGTCGTGGCAAACATGTGCTGGATGGCTGTCCAACACCCTTCACAAATCCCATATAACTTATTATTACATCCTTCCTCTTGATTGAACAAGTATGTTTGCACTTGCATATATCTTCATTTCAAGACAACAGAGGCAGCAATAAAACAGTTTTATTGACAAAATGCTCCTCTGTTCTAAATCTATTGTTTCATAAGAATCCAATAATTATAATTTATTAAAAACAGAAATGAAAAGGGGAAAATGAGACACTGGGATGTCAATTTTCTTACAAACCTGCCAAGGAAGTAAAGATCTCATGAGTGACTATGACCATGCAGGTATCACCTAACATAATATGAAATCTACGTGAGATGCTTTAAGCAAAGCTTATGCCAACTTGTCTACCATCTGCTTTACATTTGATAAGATCATTGACAAACATCCTGCAATACTCGGGAGCTTGCTCATATATTCATGTTCTACTCAAAAGCCATTAAGCAGCAGGATTTGATTCCTTTATTTGCTTTAACATAGCAGCTCATTTTTGAGAATGCTGCAAATTCACAAGCACAAAGGAGCTTCAAACTGAGGAAAGAAAAGTCTCAATTTGATTGGGTGTGATTTAACTACCCTATTTTCCACACTATAAGGTGCACTTAAAATGTTTTAATTTTCTGAAAAATCGACAGCGCCTTATAATCCGGTGCACCTTATGTATGAATCCTGGTTGTGCTCACTGACCTTGAACTGATTTTATGTGGTACACGGCGCTCAAAAATCTGTCAAAAAATGTTTTAGTATGACTTTGGTAAGCTATGAAGCCACACCGCCTGATGGATTGCCGGAGCATTATTGCTGCCGTAGTCAGGAGCCTTGCAGCATAATCTGGGTCCAAAACTCATGTCAAGGCTTTCATATTTTACTCAAAAGCCATTAAGCAGCAGGGTTTGATTCCTTCAGCTTTATCTCTAGCAGCTCATTCTTGGGAATGTTGCAAATTCACAAGCAGAAAGGAACTTTAAACCGAGGAAAGAAAAGTCTCAATTTGATCGGGGGTGTTTTACACATTACATACACAATTGACCAATGCATGTCTTTAACTAATTTTCATCAGTTTACTCATATATCCCTGTAGGGCTGCATTCTCAGCCTTCTACTGTATGCCCTATATATCTATGATTGAACACCAACCCAACCAATGTCATTGTTAAGTATACCAGTGTCACCACCGCTATTGGGCTCATCTCTGATGAAGATGAGACAGCGTACAGGGCAGAGGTTGAGAATTGATAACCTGAAACTGAACCTCCCTCATACAAAAGAACTCAGATATTAGTACTTTAGATTTGGGGCCCATCAGAAGGCCCATCAGAAGGCCCATCAGCGGCCACACTTCCTCTGCATCCAGAGGAAGAACAAACTCGACCTGAAGCCGCTGCTGGCCTACTACCGCCTACTACCGCCTACTACCGCCTACTACCGCTCCGCTAGAGCGGGTTCTCCTACTGCCTGGATGTTTTCTATTCAGGGACCACGAAAAATCATTCACTGTACTTTTCCACCACTGAAGGGCATCGCCAGATTGTCCTGTCTCAGGAAAATCAGACCTATCACAGGTGACCCCTTGCACCCCGCCTGCTTGACCCGCTGTCCTCTGGTCGGCGCCTCAGGTCAATCAGGTCCCACACCTCCAAACACGTAAACTTCTTCCCCTGAGTCAGTGTCATGGTCCTGGGTCGTGTGACCCAGTGCTTTGAGTTTCCTTGTATTTTGATATTGATTGTGTATGTTTAGCTCTTTTGGTAGTAGCTTCCAGGTTACTTAGTTTACTTCTTTGTTTATTAGATCCCTTTATGTCATCACCCCTGTGTTAAATATTCCCTGCTGGTTTGTGTCATGTCTATGTCTCTCCATATTTCCTGTTTTATGTTGAAATGTCTTGTGTTTCTTTGTACAATGTGTTTAGTTTTACTCTCCCATGTGATGTCATTATGTTTCTTTCTAGTCAGCTGTTTCCTCATGTGTCTCCACTTTCTCTGATTACCTCATGTGTGTATTTAGTCTTTGTGTTGTCAATCAATCTTTGTCAGGATGTCTATTTTCCTCCATGCTCGTCACAGCATTCATAGTGTCAGATATTTCATATTGTCTCATAGCTTCACAGTTCTTTCATAGTTATCTTGTTTTAGTTTTCCTAGTTTAGCTTACAAGGTTAGTTGTCATTCCTCTTTCACCCTTGCTTTTATTTTTTACCCCTGTCATCAGCCCTAATAAAGTCTCGCCTTTTGTTTGAATTCAAGTCCGTTCTCCTGTATCTGCATTTTGGGTCCATAAGATACCGGCTGCTGACTTTTGGACTGTCAACAAACACTATCCCTCCACACCCCATCCCTGTCCACCCACCCACCAATCTAAGCCATGATCTGAGGAACCCTTATCACTCAGGCCACTCACACATGGACTATACTCAGACCAAGTTCAATGCACTACTTTCAAGCACTTTGCAACCTATCCTCTATCATGTGTTTTCCTCTTATTTGTTTATAATCCTCTTGTTTTATTCCTGCTGCAATACTATTTATATCTTTAGTCGATGCACAGATGGTGTGGAACACCCACAATTTTATTGTGCATGTGCAATAACAATAAAAATTGATTTTATTTTATTTTGTTCTATATGTCTAAACATTACAATGTTTGAAATTCCCCTCCACGAATCGCTACCTTGTCATGGTGGAGGGGTTTGTGTGTCCCAGGGATCCCAGGGGCTATGTTGTCCGGGGGCTTTTGCCCCCTGTTAGGGTCCCTCCCTGGTTCTGGGTGAGGGAGCAGGCAAAGGGCGATTCAGAAGACCCTTATGAGAATATCACAGAGGGAACAGATTTTTCGTTTTCACAATATTTGAAATATATAAATCCAACTAAAATCCTACAAAACAATAAATGCTACAATAAAATCAAGACATTCTCATTTGATAATAAAATATATTTTAAAACATATCATAAAATTATATTACTTATGCAAAGTTAATATTTGGTAGTGCAGTAAGAGTGCGTAAGGCGCTGTCTAAATTGCTACTGGCTCATGAATTGCACAGGATGTGCAAATAAACTCACATGTCTAGATCCTTGGTGACTATTATTGCCGACCTGCAGCGTCATGTTTACATGCACAAGGTCTGGTGGCATGTTAGGCTTCAAATTTTTCAACTCTCACACATAGTTTAGACAGTAGTTTTGATTTTTACTTTTAGAACATCTTGAGCTACTTTCATCACCTTCTACAAAATTCTACCAAACACCTGTATTTTGGTCACAGCTTACTAAATATTTGTATGGGATAAATCATCAACACCTTAGTGAGAGGAAAACTAAACATCAAATGCAGCTTTAAAGGTGCTTCTTCAAAACAGATTTTAAGAAATGTACATTTCAAACTGCTTTAAATGTACAAATATGGCTCCATGTTGAGTCAATGTGAAAGTCAGAGTTCAGATTTTTGCATTTTTGTGTCACAAGTACTCTATAAGATAGATAAGTTAAACCTTTATTAGTCCCACACATGAGACATCTTTTGGTTACGGCAGAAAGTGGACAGTACAAGTTAAGAGAATTAAAAGTTAATAGAATAGAGTAAGATAAAATAGAATAAGATCAAATTAAATAATATACTATACGAAAATA